CAGCTGAGGGGAGTGGGGCTTGCTTGTAAGCCACCCACCTACAACCCGAAGCTCGAGCAGTAGCTCAGCGAGGTGAGTGGAGCCTATTCTGGCGGCCTGTACTCAGGACCAAAAGATGTCAGACAGTCCTATGGGCCGGACATAAGATCTATCTGAAGCTCCAGCGTCAGTCTATACTCCAAAACAAAACAAAAAAAATTTTTTGAGAGCGAGACCAACTACTCTACCCTGAGGTGGCTAATAGTCCGAGGGCTAACACAGGTGTGTGTAGAAAAAAAAAACAAGCGGTAGCATAAACATTCCCATTCTTCTTTCTAGAATGACGTTCTGCCACTTAACTCTCCGCTGATAACCTATTTCATATGAATGAGCGACGGCCTCAAATGCTCTCACCATGAGAGGAAGCCTAAGCTATAAACATAGTTTTACAACTAGAATGAGCGGTGGCACACCTCTTTATCTTACATATGACAACAAGGGAAGCCATCACATACTCACAAAAGAAGCCCATACAACTGGTGCTTCTCTCTACCGTTCTGGCCACCTAATATGGGAACTTCAGGGCCCTAATACCAACCATTTTTACCTTACCTTATGACATTGACATGACCCCATAACTCTATAAAGGGAACGAGGTCTGTAGAGAGATACATTTTAGTGTTAGTTGTACACAAAAATGACTCTTAAAGAAGACCAACTCGTGCGAAGTGAAGACTCACCAGACAGTTCTTTATGAACATGGGGTCTACCACCTTTACATGCCTGAAAGAGGCACTCTCACTAACCAACCCGAGGCGGGCCATCAGAACATGGGTTCTCACCATGGGCCCAGCCTCAGGCCTGATGTAAGAAGCGCCTGGAGAGTCGGGAAAGAGAGGAGAGGGCTAAGATATAATCATAAGATATGATCTATCACCGACGTTGTGTGCGTTTGTGCTGGATCACCTCTCCTACTCTACCTACTCCTCCACGGAGGCAGCGCAAGAGAGGCGACACTGGCTCTCTGGCCCTGTCTACGGTTCTCGGACCGTGATGGGCCAGGCCCTCCCATCTGTCTGGGCGTGGATACGGATCTCAGCGGTATACATGGTCCTAAATGCAGCTGAGCGCGCCTTCGCCTCTCTGAACTTTCCAACCACCACCTCCACAGAGGTGCAGAAAAGCTCAGAGGGCGAAACCGGCGAATCGAGGAGAAAGCATTTCTCTTTCTCCCCAATGTAGGCCAGGTTCAACCACAGATGTCTCTTCGTGGCCACTATCGCCGGCATCGACCGGCCGATCGCAGCAGCAGTCTGTTTGGTGGCCCGGAGTGTAAGATCTGTGGTGTGACGCAGCTCAGTAACCGCCTCAGGGGCCCCACCCCCTGGTCGAGATCCCCCAGCATATTGGCCTGGTATACCTGCAACACCGCCATGGTGTGCAGGGCAGCACCGGCCTGACCCGCTGGCGTGTATGCTCTGCCATTCAAACTGGCAGGGTTGGAGCTCTCCTATCGCCTCAACATCAGCGAGACTAGCCCGCTGTTGTCGGTGGATACGGGCAGAATATGGGTTCTTCCATGTCCTCTCGATCTCAATATGGAGCTCGGGAAGAAATGGAAGGCTCACCTGAGCTCACCTGAGCCATGGCAGCTGCAGCCTGTCCGCGGCGCGTTCCATAACACCAACCATGCTCAGCATACACGGGGCAGGGTGGCTGAGAAGATTCAGGATCTATTCTTTCTATCCGATTATCACCACCCTCATCAGCCATCTCCTGTTCGTCTGGAAGAGCACTCAATGCCAGACTATGTTCTCTTTTTTTATAGAAAAACTTTCATTATCCACCTGCAGCTCACCCTCGTCAGCCGCCGAATCGTCTGAGAGGATTACACCCCTCTCAAGGCGATCGGCGAGCTCCATCTGGGAACCCCATAACGCACGTCGCCGCTCTGCTTTAAAAAAAAAAATTAAGCGAGACCTGAGCCGCGAGGCCAGACGAGAGTGCAGCGTTCTCAAAGAAAAACGTTCACAACTTGCACAAGGCAGTTCCCTCGACCGTGCGCGCTCTTCCTTCCCAGACAGAAAACGCACAGTTTGTGTGTGTCACCCGGTGATTTCATAATTGAACCTGATTTTCATGCGCTTACAGATAGAACAGTCCCTGAAGACGAAAAGGGTGATTGTCATGTTTGCAAGGCGCCCTTTTATACTTCTAGCCAGGTTGCACGTTAATGAAGTCAGCGGCTGTCGCCGGTCAATGTGATTGCCGTGATTTGAAAGTGATTTCAGACACCTGTCACGCCAGAGGCGTTCCCCAAAGCGTCAATCGACGCAGTGCAAGTTTCCTTTCGAAAGGGAACAAATGTTCCTTTTGAAGTAAACAAAAGCAGATCAAAGCTTTGGCACCTACATTCTAAAATATATACGTGAGAGGATGTATATTTTCCTGGTTTATGTAGGCTTAAAAACAGGTAGGCAAAAAAGGTTACTGTAAAGGTGAAAGGCAATTTAAGGCCAAAAGATCTCTTGGGATCCAGAGACAAAAGTCAATACAGTTTTCATAATTAAACAAAACTTTGAAAAATCAGGGGGGAAAAACACCCCATACAAATATGTCCAAATGAAATTTGTCACGAGTATAAATAAGCACAAAAAGACGAATAGCTCAATTAAAACAATCCAAATCTTTAATCTAAAAATCCTCAGGAAACACATCCATTTAACCAAGATGAGACCGGAGAACTGAACAAAACAGGGAGTATATAGCCTATACACAGGCTATATTAGTTCATTAATAGAACGGAAGGTGAATGGAATCATTAATCAAGGGAACACACTAGTCACACAGACAAAAAACACAATGAAACTAAATCAAAACAGAACATGTTACATAATGGCACTTTTGCTATGTTATTTATTTATTTTTGCAATGGCACACAGAATATGGAAATCAAAAAATCTTTTCATATTCACATACTTATTTCTTTGGTTTACAGAACACACACACACACAAAAAAAAACCTGAATCTTTGTTAATTACAAACTGAAATCCTAAAATGGCTTGGACAGTATTGTTTGCACTGTAGATTTAATTAAATGTTCTTAAAGCTCTCCTCTGGCAGTTTGGCCTACTTTTCTTTTGTAAACTGCTCCAATTCAGATCCTTCCACTGATATTTACTTGGTTTTATATCTGTATTTATATCTGGTTTTTATATTGCTTGCCACATCAGAACTGGTTTGTTTTCAACCATTCCTGGAAGTTTTTTTTTTCTTTTTTGGAGGTTTACGGATATTTGTCTTGCTGACCGTTGATGCTGGGTGGATTTTTTAATGCTGGGTTCATGGTGCCTTTTCATTTACGGTAAGGTATAGAAATGCCCAAGCCAGCACTTGCTCAGAGCTGGGCAGTCTGAAAATAGATGGAATCTTTAGCTCGACAAAGGCAGCATTTTCTGTTCCCTTATTTTGCAGTTTCTGTCTGTTCAACAAGGCAGTTGTGTTTGTCAAACTATTTTAGTAAACAAGTTTCAGCAAAATTATCATCCACTTATTATTCATGCAGTACACTAAAATTCCCATCTTAAACAAAACGAGAATTTGAGTCTAAATTTGAGTGTAAGTTTGCTTTTTTTATCTGTAAAAATTTAGATAAATCCATTGTAAAGGGCACGTAGATATTATAAAAATAAAGCTTTATGCTTCTTCTGTCATACTTTTCTTCTGTGAACAATCATTATAAGACAAGTGTCCTAGTTACACGTTACATTACAGTACACTATAAATTATGCATAATTATATGCAACTAACTCTAGTCTAAACTAACCAAAAACCCACACTAACCATATAGTAGTACCTAATTATTACTCAGTACTTAAATGTATAATTACACTGTAACACTGACCCCTTAAAGTAAAGTGTAACCATTTATATTAACCATTTAATTTTAATATAAATAATATTTATTTTATGTGTATAAAATGTTTTACTGCTCCTGCCTTTTCTGCTGTTTAAATATATAGAGAAAGCGATTCAGATTCTGCTTGATATTAACAGTATTATAATGCACCAGACTAAAAACAAAAAGCTTTATTTTTCTGCCACAGTGAAATATCAGTCTTCAGATCCCAAAACACAAATGTCAGATGACAGTAATTGTTATGTACATTATATCTGGAGTGAAGTCAGTCAAGCACTAAAACATGTAACTGAAAGTATTTCAAATCTTTTCAAGAGAATGGAAACCATGCAGTTTCCAAAGTGAAACAGTGAAAGTCCTTTGCGGATAAAAGAGATTTTAAGACTGCACAATTGTGATAAGAAACATACAATATGAAAGGAACCAACTTTTAAAAAATGCTTTATATATGTGTGCATGCAGTTTCCCCCGAGAAATGTATAGGTATTTTCCCTAATTATTTTAATTTTATTATTGAGCTGTTTTAATCTTGTTACATTCAGGATGGAAGATAATTTTAGGCTATAAATGATTGTTCTGTTGACACTTTGAGTTTTTATTATTAATGAATTACAATAACTAATACAATAGAAAATAAAAAAAATACAAATGCTATTACAAAACGTGAATACAAAAGTCCATTGCCATGTGTTAATTATCACCAATGAGTTAACAAAATACACTAATGAGATTCAGAAGTAAATTTGGTTATACTGCATTTCAAGGTGTCCTTGTTGCAGTGTAATTACATTTAAGCAACCAAATTTAATTACTATAGGGTTAGGAATATGGTTTGCTTAAGGGTTAGGTGCATTATGCATAATTTACTGTAAGATGTGTAACAAGAACACTAAAATTAAGTGTTACAGTAAATTGATGTGAAACAAAGTCCTGAAAAAGAATAGAGGATGTAGAGCTTCAAAATAATATGCAATATATATATATATATAAAGTGAGACAGTATTATCTTTCCATCTCCTCTTAGAGTAAAGCTAGATCATTATTTTCCCCTGACAGCAAAATTTAAACTCATATGCATTTTTTTTCCACTCCTGTATCACTTCCTCTTTTGAGCATCAATATAAACTGTCCAGAAGACGCCTCTCGTCCCAGACCTGCTTCACTCCACGCCTGATCTCAGCCTCAACATGTCACTGAACTCATATTTACTGCTGGCAGCTATTGCAGTCTGCTGCTTCACAACCCACATGGGTAAGAGTCTAGAAAATAGAACCTGTTATATTTAATCATTTCATTTAAAATTTTATTGTATAATATTTATATGAATTGTGTATTAATTTAATACACAAAATGTGCATTAATTAATTTTGATCAAAAATGCCTATAAATATGGTGCTTTTAAAGTTTAAAGGTGGATGTACTTTATTGTTAAAAAATAAAAACTATTAGCATTAATTCTGCCTCAAATGATTCTGATCAAATGATTTTAATATTGTACTTTTGAGAAACATAATTCTAACTGTTTCAGCATTCCCAATGGATGGCTTTGCTACCAACAAGAAGTGTCAGTGTCTGGCCACCACCTCAGCCGTGATCCCACCTCGACTGTTCCAGAAGATTGAGATCCTGCCTCCAGGAGCACACTGTCGCAAAATCGAGATCTTGTGAGTCGTGATGTTTTGCCTCTATACGCTTCAATCACAGACATGGGGAAATGTGCATGGGGTGGGCATTTCCTCTGTTCTAACAAACCTCAGCGCTCTCGAAAATGCCTTACATTATTTGCACAGTTGCCCACGCAGCTCTCAGACAAATGTCACTTATAGCCCAGACAGATATTGTTGCATATAGTCATCAAATCTCTTTCAATTCTTTAGGATTACCAAAAAGGACAACAAAACAGTTTGCATAAACCCAGAAGCACGATGGATCAACAATATCATCTCAAAAGTAATGAGAAGGTAGGATGTCAACTCCCAAAATCGAAACGGTCTAATCTAGATTTGACCTTTTGTTTTTTTCTTTCTTTGCGTTGTCTAACTATCTTCTCCTTTTGTTTCTTTTTTTCTTTAGCAAAAGAGCTGTAAAGGAAACTGCTGTGCCCACCGCGGCATAAAGCAATGTGGTCAAGAACAACCACAAGAAAGATATTTTCCATTTTCTCAACTATTCCTTTCGTTTAGTGTGCAGAATGCTATACAGCCACACATTTATATGTTGTTATCGTAGGCTGCCTAAAAAAACTGTAATTATTATTTTGAAATAAAAATCTCACAACCTTCTTCCTTTTAAATGACATCTTTATTGCCTTTACGGTAGGACACTAGGACAGGACTTTCAGTTTGTTTTACAAATGGGCCACACATAGCACCATTTTCAGTTGCAAAACAACACAGATGAGCTTTGTATTTCAAATCATAACCATATGCGTTCATAGACTAAAAAAAAGAGAAAATTAGAAAACATGTATTCCTCAGTTGAGTCATTGAGAAAAGCCAATGATAAAGCCATCATCATGTTGGGAAATTGCTTTTTCCCCCTGCCAATTCCAGTCATTGTGTCTCAAGTTTATTAAAATGATGCTTTACATATGATCATGCAGGTCCTTCATTAATTAGAATTTCTCAACAAGACTGACCTCAATCCCCGATGCCACAGTCCACATTCAAGGAAAGACTTGCACTATATTCCACATGCATTTCTAACTAGTTTTAAAACACTGTGTGTTCAATCTGGATTAAAATAGCATGGCTAGTCAGACCCTTTTGTAATTGGAAATGTATATTCAGCTGGTTCAGTGGGAATTTCTGTGAGGGATACTGGATATGTTTTAAACATATACACACAATATAAGCCTCAGAAAACAAAACTACTGCTACCACAAAACCAGTGAAACAATGCAAAGCAAACTGACTTAGAACTGCTGACCATAACAGCGACATTATAACAGGATCACGGTCACTTTAGTAGTCAACATGTCTCTCTGGTGAAGAATAGAGATGGATGGATGGGTGGATGGAAGAAGGGATGCTGGTGCTGGCTCACTCTGTAAGCGTCTTGCTGCTGTAGAAAAGATGATTCAGACTAGGCACAGTTTGATCAAAGTGGAATGCTCTAATTGTGAATCATTTTCTGCAAAAGTGAATTCATAGGCTGATAAGACTCACATTTTTGTTCTTGTTGTGTTGGATGTTGCTTTTAGAAACTATGCAATGTCAAATATTGCTCATCATTTACTGATTAAATTAAGTTTTTGATGACCATCAGCTATTAAAAAATGTCAATGTGTTGTCTGTATCCAAACCAAATATGTAATTAAACTTTACAGGGATGGGAGTTAATCAGCGTGGTTATTGTTTTTGTTTTTCTCCAAAGTCCAATGGCAGTAAGTTATAAGTAACATGCAGCCCGAGGTGGACCGTAACACAGTACATTTACTTGAGTACTGAACTTAAGTTAAGTTTTTGAGTATCTGTACTTTACTGGAGTATTATTTTTTCGGAAAACTTTTTACTTTAACTTCACTATATTTGATTGAAAGACAAATATCGTACTTTTTACTCTACTACAATTCTGTCAAGGTTCTTGAGTGAAAAGTAGTAACGTCAGTCAGGGGATGATTTTGGTTGGAAAATAAAGCCGGGTTGACGTCAGAAGCCGACGAATTTTGTCATTGTTTTGGAGCACACTAGCTTATAGATAACAGTAAGTCTAACATATTCATACTAAAAGCTAAACAATTTTTTTAAATAGGCCACTGTTTGAGGGAACAGCCATTTGGGTGTCCGAAACCATTGTGGACGTTATTAAGTGCACTTATTCAATCTCACATTCAATCCCACTACTGGAACTGTGTTATAGAAATAAATTTGATATTGATATGAGGGTAGGTCGGCAGGCATAGATTCAGAGGCATAAGGTAAGTAGTACATACAACAATGCAACAATAATGAAACAATGCATTGACATTTACTTTTGATACTTAAATATTTTTAAAAACAAGTACTTCTGTACTTTGACTTTTGTAAAAAAAAATCGGTCTTAACAACTTTTACTTTTAATGGAGTAATATTTGACCAGTAGTATCTGTACTTTCACTCAAGTAAGGAAGTTGTGTACTTTGTCCACCTCTGCATGCAGCACACATAGTCCAACACCTCATAGTCAACTTTAGCACCTCTGACCTTTCTTCTTTTGAAGCTTTTTACTCATACCAGCTCCACACAGAACAAGGCACAGTCTGCTAAAGCATGGCGAGCTATAGCTTTGTCCAAGTAGTCATTGCGTGAGCCTGGATGTGTCTATTAGACAAGTACTTCCACCAACTTCCACTCCTCACAGGTTAAACATCATAAAATGCTCCAGGATTTTAACAACTTGCTTTAAAAAAAAATATATGATTGCTTGTTTGGACAAAAAAATATATTTTGGTTTATTAAAGTCTGAAAAAGTTTCAGACTTTAATAAACTTTAATAAATTAATTTAAAGTTTATTAAAGTCTTTTCCTCTGTCGCCATCTCTGTTCGAAATCTGCAATTGCAGTCATTCACGGAATTATCAACTTTACGTGAGTTGTACTTCGACACGGCACAGCGCGGATGAACACAATGTTTGAGGAGAATGTGCAGCTGTCAGTCGCCGCGCCGGTGTGGATACTGGCATTCAGAATCACAGATTATTCTTTTTGGAAGTATGACCAACATAAGAATTTTCACCGGAAAATGTCATTTGAACTAGTAAGAAACATCCACTTTTGTTCTGGCTCTGACATTGCAGTAAATCGCGCTGATTAAATCTAAAAATCGCTTATCATATCACGCAAAACCGTGCGAATTATACTTTGTTCTCAAATTGTTAATGTTAATTGCGTGACTACATGTAATGTCCTTCCGATATGTATCCATGTTTTCGCATGGGTCCGGTTGCAGTCTCTTTTTTTTCTGTAGCCACTCCGAAGTCCGAACGAAGTCTTTTGCATTTTACAGCGGGTGAGTCTCTAGTTGTCACTGGTGATTGTCGTTTGAACCTTTCTGGATCCGCCATCAAATTGATAAGTTTAATTATATCAAGTGCTGTGAGAAAAGGCTACAAAGCTCACACGCAACATAGCCTACTAGCCGAGACTCCTTCTTTATGTGTACAGATGTGACGTAATGACGCAAAGACATGCTCGAATCTCCCGCGGAAATCCACCAGTACCACTGGAATTAAAAACATTATTACAAGCTTACCATTTTGAATCGAGCTAAGGCAAGCAGATAGTTTTGAACACTGGCTGGTTATGTATTTTCTCAAATATGTATTTTGGATAATTTTTCAAAAAAGCTACGGACTGCAGCTTTAATGCTGGAATACACTACACAACTTCGATTTACAGAATGTACAAGTCAGCATAAGTTGCCTAAAGACAGAGAAAATCTGAATATCTGATTTCACAGAAAATTGCGTAGTGTATGATGGGGACGTATTCAGATTTTTTTAGCTTCAGACTATGATCCATCTATTTAAACATGTTTGATTTTTTTTTTCTCCTACATGTTTCTGCATGTTTGTGTTATTGTGAAAGTCTGTTATAATAGTATGTGATCCTCAGCCGTTTAGTGTATGATGCCCAGTTTTTTCTTTAACCATTTACAAAATTGGCAAGTGTATGATGATTGGTTTAAAATCTGTTCAGAATTAAAAAGTCATGTAGCCTTCATTTAAGTCATTCCAGTTTTAAGAGAAATTTAGTAAACCATAAATCAATGAGAACCATAAAAATGTAAATATAACAGGGAGATAAAACGGCCTCTTACAACAGAAATGCCCTTAAAGGGGTCATGACATGATTTCCATGAGGTCTTGTCATAATTTTAATAAAGGTTTTTTTTTTTTTGCACAAAAGAAATGTGGAAAAACAATTATTTTCAACCCTCATTCTGTAATTATCTGGTTTATATAATTATCTTTATATATATATATATATATATATATTATTGGCTAACATCATTGCACAGGAAACAGTATCAATGCCCACTTGCTATTGCACACGAGTAAGTGTTTATCCTTGTGAAATCTCTACAGAGATGCAAACGAGCCCACACTTTGTAACAAAACCTTCCCAAAGCCCTAAAATTATACTTGATTATTTTTTTGTCCAGAAAGCTTATTTCATTTAATTTTGATAATATTTTTTCAACATTTTTAATGCAGTATTTTTGGAGATTTTTTGTTATTTTTTATTTAATTTATCTTTAAATTACTAGAATTTATCAATAAATAAATAATAATTTAAGAAAATTCTTTCAACTTAAATTCAAAATAACTCGCATTCATTTTTTCTCATTTCCAACAAATCACAAAACGGCATTTATAAGTACAATATGAATTAACGTTCAATTTGTACCGATGCAGCTGACAAGCCATTAGCGTTGAAAAAAGCGTGAAACAACACGACAAAGCAGATTCTGCCTTCATTTACTCAACCTCATGTCATTTTTTTCTTCTGTGGAACACAAAAAAAAAAAAAGAAATTTCTCAGTGTTTTTGTCCATACAATGATCAAAAACGGATGTCAATGGTAACCAAACTGTTGGGTTACCACCAGCATGTTTTGTTTTTGCTCGACAGAAGAAATGATAGCTTTAGCGTTAGCTCTACCAGGAAGACTCAAATGCCACATCTTTTTATTTTTACTGGTCTGGCCAATCACTGATTGACACCTGAAGTATATAAGCACTGAACTCTCCGTTTTATGTTTGCAGTTGATGACGCTGACGTCCCACTTCATCGTCTCCACCGCCACCAGGTTGGCCCCTGTCCATCCATCGGGTGTAGGCGCTGCACCTGCCTTTATCTTCAGGCAGGATCAGCCGAATCTACATTCCCAAGGATTGGGACTAAGGACGGCGCCTACGCCAAATAACTTTTCTATACAACTAAACATGAATCGTAGCTCACTAACATCTGTTAATTCCTTACGGAATAAACAGCATGCAAACTTTCACCTGCCATCCGAGTCTTTAAGGTAGAAATAGTAATACAGAATTGAAAAAAACATGAGAGTGAGTAAATGATGGCAGAATTTTTGGGTGAACTATCCCTTACCCTCCTAGCTAGTCTTCTGTAGCAATAAATTGTACCAATAACACCAACCCTGCCAATCAAATATTCTTTTGAAATGCTCGTTTACA